ACGTCATTTGCAGCGACATGGATGTTCCTGGAGGATGTCATTCTGAGTGAAGTAAGCCAGAAAGAGAAAGAAAAATACCATATGAGATCACTTATATGAGGAATCTAAAAAATAAAAAAAAATCAAAACAAAGCATAAATACAAAACAGAAACAGACTCATAGACATAGAATACAAACTTGTGGTTGCCAAGGGGGCGGGGGGTGGGAAGGGACAGACTGCAATTTTAAAATGCAGGATAGATAAACAATATTATACTGTATAGCACAGGGAAAAATACACAAGATCTTGTGGTAGCTCATAGTGAAAAAAAATGTGACAATGAATATATGTATGTTCATGTATAACTGAAAAATTGTGCTCTACTCTAGAGTTTGACACAACATTGTACAATAACTATTACTCAATTTGAAAATGTAAAATAAAATAAAATAAAATAAAAAAGAATATCCCTGTAACTGACCATCAGAGATAACTACTGTGAATATTTTGGCATATAGCATTCCAGGTTTTTTCCCCATTCTTATTGCTGTTTTGCTTGAATTTTCAAGACTTTAAAATTGTAGTATAATTCCTAAGGAAGTATTTTTAAAAGAATGCTTGATTCTTTTTTAAACTAATGTGTCTGTTTCTTTTTCTTTTTTAGGATTGTACTGTATATGAAACAGAGAATAAAATTCTTCATGTGGTAAGTATACTTGGATTAATTTTCATCTTCATTAAAAATTTTATATTCCCTATTTTAACTAGTTATTAAATTAAAAGCTGCAGCTTGTAAAAAAAAAAGTAAGCCTGGTGTATTTTATAGGAAAAGTACAAAAGAGTCAAAATTTAACAGGTTATATTAGTTATAACTATTCTGTTGTAACTTAATAAAAAAATAGGATACAGGATTTTAATGTAATATAAAGCAAGGTTGGAATATAATAAAATTAAGAATCTGGAGAAGACAATTTGATATTGGAATTTTTCACTGTTAAACTGTGACAAAAAGAGGTCAGAGAAAAATACTTGGTTGTATAACAGAAGTAATTCACCTCTACTGTCATTTGAATGAAATACTTCATAAAATATCAAACTGCCTCTGCTGTGATTCTATACTCGCCAACCTTCTAGGTTTTAACATGACAATATTTTTTTAATCAATTAATGATCTTGCAGGTATTTTATTTTACTACTAGAAATATTGAGTGTGAGTACATTATACTTTGTAGAAAGGCATCTTCTTTCTTCTTAGTCCACAGTTTGCTGCTTTTTTTGTAAATCTATTTCTTAGTTGGTGCTGTCTATCCTAATGATTTCACCTCTTTTAGAAATGCGGGACAACATAAGCAACATTGAAGTTTAGAAATGAATGCAGTATATTTACTTTGGCAATTTGAGACTTTAAAGATCTTGTCTAATGATGATTGAGACAGTGGAAGGCACTAACCAGTCAGTTCAGCTCAGAAAGCACTTGTATTTCCATGTTCTTATTCTACTTCCCTTCCTGGCCTTTGTATGCAAAATGGCCCAGCCTTCACTAGAGGGTCATGTCCTTGTGTATTACTTTTCTCACAATAAGAGTTATTTTTTAAAAAAATAATAAAATAGTATACCAACAGATTCAGTGTCTAGTGCGGGCCTGTTCCTTGATTCAGAGAGTGTCCTCACACGATTGAAGGGGCGAGGAAGCTCTCTGGGATCCCATTCAAGAGGGTTCCAAACTCATAACTTAATCAGTTTTCACATGCTCCACTTCCAGATACCATCACCTTGGGGTTTTAACATAGGAATTTGGGAGGTTCACAAACATTGAGTCTATAACAGATGGTGAGGAATAAGAAAGTATGTGAGTTCTCACTAGTATTTTTAAAATGAGGGTTTTTAATGATAGCTCGAAAAGATAATGCAAATGTCATTGGATTTATATATTTTTTAAAGAAACAAGCTCTGCATTTCTAAGTTAAATCATAAAGACTACCATGACTTTCCAGTGGCAGTCATCCTCAGAAAACAAAATACAAATTTTCATCTTATCAATTCATAAGCACAAATACACACACTGTTACACACACTAAAAATATCCAAATAATATCCAAATGCTGGTGAGAATCTGATGAAATTGGAATGGACATACTTCACTGCTTGGCATGTACATTCATAAAACCTTTTTAAGTTTTAGTCATTTTCAGGGCTCAAAAACATTAATACTAGCATGTAGTATTTACAGTATACCTCAGGCACTATTTTAAATGCTGTATGCAAACTAACTCATTTGTTCCTCATAAAGGTGCATGCTATTACTGTCATCTCCACTTTACAGATGAGGAAACTGAAACACAGAGAGTTTGGATGACTTTCCTAAAGTGACATAGTTGAAAAGGGTTTAGGACAGGATTTTAACTCAAGTAGTCTGGCCCCAGAATTCATATTCCAATACTATTTTGGAAATCTAGTCTAAAAATAAATTCTAAAACACAGTAACATTTTCTGTGGAAAGTATTTATAGCAGCATTATATGTAATAATGAAAAATAGGAAATAATAGGGTAATGCTTTGGTAAAGTATGGTGCATTCACAGGATGAAATATTTACTGTTCATAGTTACTATTTGAAATTTTATTTGTGAATATATGATTTTTAAATAAACTATTCATACATAAATGTATGAATATACCTAAAATATTTTGTGCCAAAATTAATGGAAAGATTCTAAATGATAATGTTAAGTAAAAACCAGGGTAAAGCATTATAAACAGAATAAATCATCATTGAAAATTGGGAAAGAAAATATTCTATATTAATATCTACTGTTGTAAGATAACAGCTGATTTTTCGTTTGTTTCAGATGTCCTCTCCATTTCCTTCAGTTAGTTTGCATTATTTTTATAATGAAAAATTATAAAAGTATACATTTAGTATGTTTGTAATCCTGATGGCCTTTAATGGATAATTTTATGCTACACATAGTGAAATAGTCATAAGTGACTTGGACTATCCTTAGGCTAGATTTCCTGTTCACCCTTTTTATCTTTACAATTGGAGAGAGTTGTTTATGCTTAAAATGGGAAAGTAGTAGACTCTGAAGACCAAAAAGCTGGGCAGAAAGGAGGATTGGTTGTTTGTTTCCAGTAGTAGACAGAGATGTCTATTAATGTGAAATGTGAGAATGAATCAAAGGAGACTGGACAGCTTGAGTTTCCTTGGAATTTGCCATTAAATATAATGGAACAGATGGCAGAGTGCAACCGTAAAGGACAAAAAGAAGTACAGATATTAGGGTACTATTTTTCTGAATGGCTGTCAACTGATGATAAAGAGTAATGTATTTCACCTCTCGATCTGATACTCCCTCTCGGTTAGGCTTTGTCCTTGATTACACACATTCCCTGGCATGTTGGAGCCATCGGTTTTTGCTCTGCCCAGATCACTGTTTTATACAGTAAAACAGTTACAGGGAATCTGGAGTTCTCTTCAGTTCTGTACCCTACTTCCTCCCCATTCCTACCTTTCATTACAGGCTTTGACTCTGGGGAGAGAAGCATTCCTGAGAAGCCATTTCAGACCTTGTGCTTTAGCAGACTTACTCTGCTTGTCACAGCCCTGCTGCTCTAGTCGGTGAGCCAGGAACACTTTTCAGCTTTGATAAACTCATGGAAATGCCAGGCTAGGCATGAGCATTAGAGTCACACTGTTTATGTTAGATTGTACTGAGCTCAAATACACCTTTGACGTTAACCAACAGTGTGATCTTGTATATGGCATTTAATTGTACTAGCATTTTAACCCCATTGTTTTTATAAACATAATAAGAGGAATAAATAGACTGAATGCCTATTTTATTATTTTACTGTTAGTATTATCTTTTAATTGTATAGTACTTTACAGTTTACAGGGCATTTTCGTGAATGCTCTCTCCTCTTCTCTCTCCTGTCTTTATTTTTTTTTGTTTGTTTGTTACTTTCTTAGGTTTGATTGTGAATTAGGCTTATTTTGGCCAGTTAACTATCTGTTTTATTTCATGATCTTTTTGTATATAATTTTTCCCTTTCTTTAAATGTTGACCTCTACTCCTAAGATCCATTTTGGCTGTGATTATTGTGCCTTCTCTGCTATCTAGACTAGAAATGGCTAAAACTGTACAGAATCAACAGTTGGGTTAAGAGAAAAGCTTGGAGGAGAAAATAAGCTCATCTTAGGCTTTGCGCCACCGTCTGCATCCTGTCGTTTATGTAGCCATAGTTTTCCTCCCCTAATCTCCCAAAACCTTGAAGATGTAAGTACTAGGGCAACACCATGCCCCATAATAAAATAAAAGTGATCATATTAATATTTTACTTTTAGAGATGTCTCAAAAACAGTGCACTCTAATGATTTTATAAAAATAATTTTCTGTTGGTCTTCAGAAGGTCCTTGATGCTGTGAAAAGGCAGCTTTGCCAGTTAGTAGACTCTTCTCTAAGCTGTGATCTTGGTCCATTGCAAACTGAATGCTTTTGTGTGGTTGACATTTTGGTTGTAACTGTAGCATTTGAACATACAAATTATGGTTAACTGCATTAAAACATGAATTCTAATACTGGGTTTTGTAGATGAAAAGCATTCAGATGCTTTTTTTTTTTTATTTTGAAGTTAATGTGACCTATCTTGGCCCCCCTTCACAATCTTTCTGGCCAGCCCAAAGAATTACACTAATACTGTTACTGAAATGGGCACTGATTTCTTGAGTATTGTATTAGATTATCTTCAGGTTTTGGCAGTTTGATGGTTTACTGCCTTATAAATTATTTTAACTATAAATTAACTTCCAGACAACCGATGTCCTATTCAGGAATGAAGAAATCCAATCAGAACATGATGGAGTTAGATGTTTGTCTTTTCTGTGATGGAAAAAAATGTATATATACTAAAGGGAATGTGACCGCACATAAAAAATTAAAATAATCTGTTTTTAGTGTGCCTTACTATAATTTGGATAGACAGTGTATAAGTTGATATATTTATGGATGTTCTTACTAACATCGTATTTGCTGAACACAGTATGCATTGTAAAATACTTTCATAATCAGGCTGACTCTGAGTGTACAATCCTTGTTCTCAAAGAGTATTTGTTTTTGTTGTGGAATCAAGTGAGGCAGAGTAATGCAGAAAGAGCACCAATTTGAGAGTTAAAGAGGTTTTGTGTCCTCATCCCGTTCTGGCACTTGTTCACTTTAGCTGTGAACGAACTAAATTAGCCTCTCTGATTAAGTCAGGGGATTGGAGTGTCTGATTTTAAAGGTCTAAATGCCATAATTCTTTGATGACTAACTCAAAATCAGTAGAAAACGTGATGGCCACATAAAGAGATAAACTGAAGGACTGTCTTAATCTAAGACCACACTTTATGTGATCAAAGAGACTGGATTTTTTTAAACTATGGTTTTTGTCACCCTAAATGTAAAGATTTCTTTGAGGTAATTGAATCATTCTGGAGATGGAAATCACACAGTAACTTAAAGGAAGCTTACTCTAAATAACTGTTAACCTATGATAGAAGAGTACTTATGTGTATATATATATATATATATATACATATATATATATATAGATGTAAAGAGACTCTAAAGCTTGTCCTCAGACTGGGGGACAGTACCCAAGGAAGCACAGCTTGTAGGCAGACACCCTCCCCCACACCGAGGATAAATCCACGATTTATTCTGTGTTT